TTGTGTGGCTTATTATAAAAAATAAAGATAAAAATAAAAATAATATTAAAAAAATTAAAAAATACTAACAAATAATAACATATCGACCATTTTGATTTTTAGCATGCCATTGCTTCACAAATTAAATATTTGGTAGACCTTTTATTGTGAGAAGGACCACCACCGTGTTTGTAACATTTGTTTTTATAACCATCACATGAATCATACTTAAATGCCCAACCAAAAGAATTATCGCCAATGTCTGATATATTTCTCCATTTAGAAATTAAAACTATATGATCATCTGTATACCTACCATATTTACCATCATTATTAGGTCCATATCCACCTGCAATTGTACTATTTTTTTTACCAATAGGGGTATTACAATTGCATAGGTATTGTTGACATTGGTATTGAGCATCATTATTACATATAACCGCACCATATGCTATCATAACTGAACTTATAATACGTGCTGTAAGAAAATCATCTATTTTTTGAGAGACCGCAGATCTTCTATAATCGGGATCATTTACTGTAGGACTCATGAAATTATTTAAGTAGGTAATATCAGATCCATTAAGCTTAGTAGCTATAGTATTTCTCAATTCTGAGTTAATTGAAGACACTATAGAATCAATCTGATTTGCAAACTCAGTAATATCCCATTGCTGATTGATTTAAATTATTTCGTATATCATTTAAAGCCTCATCAAAAGACAACTCTCCAATGCTAATCGTTTCTCCTGAAATAGTCGGGTTATCTCTTTTTCTTCTTCTAGCTCCTGAACTACCAGCCTCTAGTCTAAAGGGAGTGTCAGGATTTCGCATTGGTGGTCTACTTACTGATGGTTCAAATCGACTGCCTACTTCTAAGATTTCCCCTTTATTTAATATTGGAGCTGTTGTAGTTCTCATCGTAACCATACCTGTATTAAAATAAGCCTCCAAATTAACATGAAAAATTTTTTCTAAAGTATACCGAATCATTCCCAATTTCCCCACCAATTCATTAAACTTAACTAAATTTCCTTTTAGCCCTAATTGTTCAGCATTCCTAATATAATAAAGTGTCTGAGAAAAATCACCAACAGCCGAATCTATATCCTTAACACCTATCTTTTCTACACAATTGTTGAAAATATTATTAACAATTTCGAATGTTTCGTCTACGGTCTCACCTACAGGTGGTGCCTTAGGTCCAAATTTTGCAATATTTGCTGCTACTTCTTCCTCGATGGTGTCCACAACTTCAATAGTTGATCTTTCAATAAAAATTTCTGCACCTACGAGAGCTCCAATATCAAGCACAAGAAACCCACTAAGAACACCAGCAATTATTTCTATTAATTTCCCAGTATGTACTTTTTCAGGAACCAGTTGGGTTTTAATATCATTAATCTTATTTAATGCATTCTTACGACCATCGCTTATCCCGAGAGCAACAGCATTACTAAGTTGGGCAAAATTATTTATAGCATTAGCTAGAGATTTTGCAGCAGGTAAATAGTTACTTGCATTAAAAAAATCTTGAATATCTTGACCAATTTGAAGATACCCTAAGTGGGTTCCAGGAGACGATGAGGTTATTGTGTCAAGGCATTGAAAAGCATCTTTAGTAGGATCGAAAGTTAATTTCCGATCATCAAGACTTATTCCTAAGTTACAATAGATTAGAACCATGCTAGGAGCAATGGGATGATCAGGATTAACATTGTCGCCAAAGTAAGGGTTGAGAGACGACACATCAACCGGATGTACAGTTTGATCACCCTGACAGGAGTGTAAACCTCCTGTGATAGAGTAATTCCGACCTATTTCCAACTTTACGGTAAGAAAGCAATGATCGAAACATGTCCATAGTGATAATATATCTTTTAGATGGATTATTCCCAACTCCATTACCAACATATGTAATGTCTTGGACAAATGGAGAATGGGTATAAATTAACCCAGTTTCTTCATCAACGTGAAATAGATCATTCGCATATGTGTTGTTGCATAATTGATATACAAATTGAGAAGTTGACCAAGCACTAACAGATGATATAAGAAGGGAAAAAGGAATAACTAATAATAAAATATTTTGGATATAGCATACTCAATCACAATAGATGTGTTGTTTATTTATTTTTTGCAAACACTTCTTTATATTCGTAG